CGCGGGCGCCCGGGGGTCTGCAACGCTTGCGCGTCCCCTCCCTGCACTGCCAGGCTGCACCCACGGGCTGCTCCGAACGCCCCGGCGCATCCGCTCCCTTTGAAGCACCTCGGGCTCCGGCAAGGCAGAGCGCAAGGGGCATCCCTTCGCCTCCGAGGACGGCGGCGCCAAGAAGAAAGGCGGCAGGTTTGCCCCGGATCCAGCTGCTTCCTCACGGGCTATTTTAACCTCCGCAGCAGCCGCCCAAAAGACGCAGGAGGGCCCGGGCACGGTCTGCAGGGTCTGCTCTGCCCTCCAGACCCAGCCACGAAAACTGTGCTCACGAGAGCGAAAAAAGGGGGGGTGGAAAAAGAAAAAAAAAGGGAACATCGATTCCTACCAGGGTTACGCTGGCAAAGAGACGAAGGACCCGCCGCGGGAAGGGGGCCGGGCTGCGAGGCCGCCGCGCGCCCAGAGGACCCGGCGTCCCTCTCCGCTCCTGCGAAGCAGCCGGGCATTATGCGGCGGACTCTTGTTTTGAAACTTGTACCTTCCCCGGGTCACAGGCTGCTTAGCGCCGTGCGGCCAGATCCTCAAAATAGAACATAAGCACATAAGTAAACCGACACGGGCGAGCAAATGCTCTGCTGCGTTTTCTTCCCGCTTGGAGTCGATGTCCGAAATGCAGCAGGGCGGCGGCGTGCGCACGGCACCCCGGGAGCATCCGTGTCCCATGCGCGGGTGCCGGCAGCGAGGCAGGGCTCGGCCATGTGTTTTGGGAAGACCTTGAGGTCTTCTGATGCAAAGAGACAAGATGAGCGTACGGAGAGAGCTGACACGCAGGGCAGTGGCTGTTTGCAGGGAAACGGGGCCAGGAGGACGGTGACACCTGGGCTGAGGCGCGTGTTGAGCACCCACCACCTCACCCGAACGCCTTTCAGAGGCTGGGGAAGGGCGTGCAAGACGTGGACCGAGGCCTTCCCACCAAACCATCCGTCTGCATTTCTTGCCTATACAGCAAAAACTGCTCACGCCTTTGGACTTCAACCCCCTGTGCCCACCGCAGGGACAACTCTTTTTTGGGGGGAGAAGGTTCAAAAGGATGAAGAAAACGCCTTCCCTCTTCAGAGCTGGCCATCATCCATGAGCGGTCGAGCCACGGAAGGGGTGGCCAGCACCAGGACAGTCTTCCCCATCACCGCAGGACCGCAACAGTGTTAGCTGTCCTTTGCGCTGCGGTCTCGCTGACGTGCCCAAGGATGGGAAACCTCAACGTTCCTGGCCAGAAAAGCAGAGCCCCTCCTTTACTTGTTTTTTAACAGATGCCATCTAGTCCCCGCTTGCAGATGGTGAGCTGTGACTTTGAGACCACCTCCTCCTCTGAGCACTTCTGGGCCAGGTTAGCGCGCCGCGATGCTCCTTACGGTCAGCGCAGCGTCTCCAGCGAAGGTGGAGGAACAGCAGCGCGTCCCTTCCTTACGTACCCGACAGCCGAGGCGGCGCGCCTGCTTGCTCTTTTCCTCTTCCAAGCCTTCCTGCAGGAAGCAACCTGACCAGGAGCATGTGCCGGGGTCCCTCGGGGATGCGAGGTGGCTCCGCAGCCTGTTTCCAGGGACTATTTATAACCCGCTCCAAGCGCCCGGCTTCGCCGCGGCGCCGCGAGCTTGTTTTGAAAGCGGCATCCGGCGGGAGCCCCTCTGCGGCGCAGATAAACGCGGGGCCGCTTCTCCCTCGCGGCAGGCACCTGCTTTCTATATTTAAAACCTCGCATCTGTCGAACGGCTCGGGGCCGGGTTGAAAGGCGAGCTGTGAAAGCGAAGCGGCTTAGAGGAAAAGGTTCACACCGCAGCGAGACAAAGCTGGTCGTTTGCACCGCGCCTTTCCTCTCCCGGAAAAGGGAAAACATATGGGGCCCTTTTTGTGCCATCGCCTCGGGGAATTAAAAAAAAAAAAGAAATACAATGAAATAAAAGCTAAGGAGCAGGCAACGTGGCACGAGAAGCGAGGCTGCTTTCCTACCGCAACAGGCCCACTTTGGCTGTTCAAATCACGAGCCCTCCTCCTGCTAGCACATGAATTATTTATTATTTGCATCACGGCAAAGCCCTGACTCTGCCCCAGCCCCGTGGCGCTCAGTGCCGCCCTTACGCGCAGCCACGAGCCGGCCCCCTGCACCGCGGAGTTGATAGCCGGGATTTCGGAAGGGAGTTTAGAAGGAGCTAGGAGCTGGAATTTCACCAAAATTCACGGCGGTTTTGTCATCGAGCTCCGCCAAGCTCCTCTGCAGACCCTGGTCCCCCCCGGTCACACACGGCAAGGGGTGAAGGAGGTGCAGGAGGGCCAGTCGGACGCAAGGATGAGCGCGCGGGAGAGCATGTGAGCCGCTATCTCAGCCGACAACCCGCCTGGCTCTTATTGATGCCTGTGGCGCGGCAGCAGCAAGCCTTAGGGGAGGATTTGCAGGAGGATCATGCCGTGATCGCAGTCTTATCTGAGCCAATATAGATTTCAGGCGTGCCGAGGGCCATGGAGGTGCATCAAGAACCGGGGTAATCTCCCCTGCCTTGGAGAACGGGGCAGTGATTTATATAGGGGAAACCACGCTGGGTCCCCAGACTCGATCCGGCAGGAGCGATGGAGAAGACGGAGGCGGTTGAAGTGCCCCGGCACCTTCTGCATCCTTGCATTGTGATAGCCAAAATGCAGCCAAGGCGTTTCTTCCCGTGGGGATGCATAAAGGCACCGGGAAATCTGGGACCGGCAGGCCACCAAACTAAGATGCCTCAAGCACAAATATCTCAGAAGAAAGCGATCCTGAACTTTTCTCTCTCTCTCTCTCTCTCTCGTTTTTTTTAACAGATGC